TAAAATGTCGAGAATACTTATATAAACAAAGAGAATATCATAAAAATGAGGACAACTTGTATGTAAGTTTTGATATTATATTAAGAAATTAAATTGTTTCCTTTTTTTATGTAATATATGGTCATAAAAAAAATATCAGTTTTTAAAGTATAATAAAACATTGTTAAACTTGAATTAACTTGCATGAGGGTCCATTTGATTCCAAAGTTAGAAAATATGTTTGCTTAAGAAATGTGATTAGGGCGGTGGTGTAGTAGCGATGTAGTGCAACAACACTTTTTTTATTGTTTGTTTGGCAAAAATACATTTTACTAGAGTTCGTAAAAAAACTACAATTAAAAACTGCATTTACCTGCCGACTCTGGTTAACTGCCGTGACTGCTAAAAAGTTGTTGTCTAACTTCTTTAAAAAACTAAATTTTGATAATAGTCAGCGAAGTTTTTTCTTCTGCAGCTTCACAAAAACTTGTCTTCAAACAACTGCAGCTACCCCAAACAACACCAAATTTTGCTTATTTATAACATTAAATAAGCAAAAAAAAAACATTTTTATATATTAGTTTATAGTACAAATTCATGAAATATTCTTCACGTAAATAAGAATTTACACCAATACCCCATGATTCTATGAGTAGTGTAGTAAATCACATCAATATATTGATATTTATGATATATTTTAAATTCAATGATTATACAAGTAAATATTAAAATTTAAATGTTAAAATTAAATATAAATGCAGAAAAAAAAAACAATTGCAGCACTAACGTAATTTATCAAATGAGGTTCTCAGCTTAATTCATCATTTTCTTTTTTTATAGATGAGTGAATTTAATTGTAAAGTGGCAAAATCAACGAAGATCAGTCGAACCAAGAATCCAACGGTCCATAATCTTTTGTTCCGATGAGTACAGCATAAGCACGGAAATGATAACGACTAGGGTTCGAGGCTGGTTTCTGTGACCGCTGTGTAAAGCAATGGGCCAAACCCAAAGGCTACTATGATGAGGAGAAGTGAAATTTTCAGAAAACACATGGGTGAAAAGGGAAAAATACAAAAAGGTAAAAGTGAAAAAAAAACTTTAAAGCGGAGCACCGCAGGAGCGTGATAACTTGCTTTCACTTTTTTTTTTTTATTTATTTAAGGCCCTTTATCTCCCTCTCAATATATATATATATATATATATATATA